CTCAAACTCAAACTCAGTCGCTCGCCGGTGACTGCCTGTCTCTTATACACATCTAGATGTGTATAAGAGACAGCACCTTCTCAGACCACCGAAATATTGACCTTGAAACCCTGTGAAACGCACATACTGCATTCATGAAACGTGAAGAGCAGGGTTAGCAGCATCGTAAACAGCAACGGCACCGTTGGTAAACAAACCCATGCGTCTGCAGAAAAGTTCCCGGCACACGAGAGAGAGAGAGAGAGAGAGAGAGAGAGAGAGAGAGAGAGAGAGAGAGAGAGAGAGAGAGGGGGCGAAGATGGCCCCAGACGGAGACGGAAAAGGGGGAGCAGAGATGCAGTTGAACAGAGCCGAAGGGAAGTTGTGAATATTGGTAAAGACCAGCACGCATACTCAAAAGAACACAAGCCAAAGGAAAGAGCTCTTGTGCAATCATTACGGATGAACACAACGAAAACGCTTATATTTTTCAATGATGAGAATTCCAGGAGGATTGAATCTCATTACTACATGAATTCCAGGAGGATTGAATCTTTCCAAGTAATCTCAAACACTCCACTTACGATCCATCGAGTAAGCAAAATGCCAATCTCATCAGTCCGGGTAGGATTCCTCCTAAGCTTCTCAATTCATTCCCTCCACCATCGCATCGACCGACACAGCTCGTCGTTCCCTTCTCTTCTCTTGTCTCCTCTTCTACTGCGTTGAATAGCTCCTTTGAAAAACTTTAGGGGCAACTAGGCATTGCTCCTTTACAAATGTTTTGGGGCAACTAGTGCGCAGTCACCGAAAACAGTTTCACAATGCATTTCCGGCATCCCTCGAGCATAACACACCCCCACCGGACCCTCAAGCTTTCAGTGTTTTGCCTGGAATACGTTTTGAAACTCAAACCGTGACTGCGCCCCAGTCTTCCCACTGAGGGACGAACGCGAGCAAACGACGTGACATGTCGTGTCGTGACGTGATGTGACTGTACCCTGCACTTCACCCAGGCTTGCAGCTCTACTGTACTAGAGAGCAAAAGCGACACTACGGTAGTATGCGTCTGGAGCTGTGAACCAAACGCTCACTGACAGGGAGGGAGAAACGTAAAGATGAGGACTGTAGAGTCTACGATTGCTGGCAACGAGGCTGGAATTCAAATGGTTCGTCGTGAAATGCGTCCTCAGCTACCTACCCCACGACTACACGACCGTTTGCACAGCGGATCGAGATGACATTGATCGGCATACCTCGGCGAAACTCGTTCTCAGCTACTGCCCACCCAACCGAACTCCTCCATGCCTGATTCTTTCCTCCTTCAGTAACGCTTCACGCACTTCCCATACTTGCAGTACCATCCTTTGGGGCAACACTCTTTCCCCCCGCACTTGGCGCAGCCATTCATTAGGAGGCGGCGGCCKTCCTCCGTCGCCTCCAGCTCATTAGGCATGACATTGTCTCGTGCGAATTTAGCCTTGGAGTTGAAGCCGTGCGTGTCGTCCTCAGCGGACTCCACGCCCGCGGAGGTTCCATATACGGCTAACAAGCCATCAGCAACACCAGCAGGAGACTGAACAAGACCGCCAGTGAGCAACTGGCCTTCATCGTGTCGCTCCCTGTGAAGGCTCCCTGTGCAGTCAAATGAAAGGAGGATGGACGATCTGTCGATGGGATGGACCTGTCTTGCCGGGCGACCTGCAATCAGAAACAACATCCCACATCCGAACGTCATGTTTAGAAAACCTGCTGTTCGGCTCACGCTTATCAACTGCGGGTCAGCTCAGCTGAGAATGCTTGCTTGCATTCACGTGAGTGGCTCTTTTCTTCTGGCCTGTGGATGGGAACGGGCCCGTCTTCACCCGAATAGAACGCCCAGTCATTGTAGCTGCTGCATGTGGCACTACTTTCAGTCCAAATGCGGCGATAATTACCGGGCGTCTTATATTCGGGTGAAGACGGGGTTCACATCTTGCCCGAACGCGCGGGCCGAATCATGGAGACACACAGAGACACTACCTGAGCCGGTCGTATCATGCAAGAGCAATTATGTTTCTTGTACTGGTGGCGGGACCACGAGCCAACTGCCACGCACACACACACAAGGTGAAATTCCCAAGAGCGAGCGAGCGAGCGAGAGAGAGAGAGAGAGAGAGAGAGAGAGAGAGAGAGAGTCCGCGCGGGTCGACAATCACGCTACTCGACCGGTCCAACCTCCGGCACAACGTATGCTTCGTATCGGACTAGTGAAATTATCAATCTGGACTCGCTCATCCAAAACATTAGTGAAATCATCAATATCTAGTCGCTCGTCCAAAATATTCAACATCTCCTTCTTTCATCGGCAAGAACACACAAGATCCTTCACCCTCGACGCCTCCGTAAGTTGCAATTCTCACAACACCTCACATTCGTGACCCACCATGAAGAAGACACACCACAATGTTACACATCAAGACTCTACGTCAAATATCATGCCACATCAGACGCACATCTCGGAAAATCCTCTCATTCACTGCACACCATAAGCACCGGAGTGAAGATACTAAAATAGCAAGTAATGTAGAATTGACTTGAACGCTGGGCCACAAAGAGACACAAGCTTTCCCCTGAACATGGCCAAAACGACGAAAACGCTTGTCAGGGGCCGTTCACCCATATACACGTGACGGGCCCTCGTACCTTCCCATCATCATGACATCATGCACTCTCTCTCTCTCTCTCTCTCTCTCTCTCTCTCTCTCTCTCTCTCCCCCTCTCTCTCTATTTTCCGCATCTCAATCGTGCTTCTCTATCCGTCCAGTGGAGACGCAAGGATTTACTTCGTCGTCAAAATTTTGTCGTCATGACGCACCACCAAACCTCCGAAAGCTCTTTCACCAAACGCGGACTGAGAGACGACTGAGAGCAGAAACAACCAACCTCATAGAACTTCCATTCAGTCGAGATAACCGGAGAGGCGACATACGAAAGGCCACTTACGCGTTGATGCTTCCAATGCCGTGCTCAAACTCAAACTCAAACTCAGTCGCTCGCCGGTGACTGCTGGTCAAACAGCGCTCGAAAACTTTCGCCTCTGCTAACCTGTCCTCGACCACACTGAAAGCCAACGGAAATACAATGAATTCTTCCACACCGATACTCCCGGTTGACGCGCCGGAGCTGCCATTTTTCGTTCAGGACGGGCACAACGACAGTGGCCCGCTCCGACTGCACGTGCGGTGTGCGAGGGTTTCCGTCCTCCTTTTCAGACAGGGAGAATGCAGGCAGGGGTTGGTAAGAGGACGTGTGGCCAAGCTCTGGTGTATGTCATGCTGTGCAATGTTGCTGCAATTTCACTTTCCTTGTATCCCCATATGAGACGGTCGTAAGGTCGGGACAAACATAGTAGCTCAACAGGTTAGTGCTCTGGCGTTGCAAGGCGGAGGTCGCGGGTTCAAGTCCGTCGACCGTCAACCTCCCCCAAGCGCGTTCACTTGGTGCTACGTTGGCACCCCACGGACTTATCCCCCAGCCTAGTACAGCCCACACCAGACTGACCAACTGCGGTAGTATCTCAGTGGGTTTTAGACCACGAGTACATCCTAAAAAGACGATTGAGACTCGCCTTAAAAATAGGACCATCATGAACTGCCGAATCTGTGCCGATTCATTTTATGGACAATCCATGGCCTCCGAATTTTTAGGAGAGGCTCATGCCTTGCAACCAGACTCGTCTCCTTTATTACTCAACACGGATGAAAATAAATGTAGATCACACTGGGCCCAGGAGCCCACACAAAACTCAGAGATGTAGAGACCAAGAACATAGTTCAGATTCAAACTCTCTTCAACTGGCTATGGCGCCTGAGCTCCCTCACTCTCTACACCCGATTCTGTATCCTCCGCAACTGTTCACATGCATGTCACTCTGGAACTCCCTGAATGTCCCACACACGTTCACACTCTTTACACAACACTCACACAAGCTTGCTACAGCCTACTGCTATCTGCGGCAGCCTTGGCCGCCTCCTACTCCCCGCTACTAGCGGCTATGGGTGCTTCATCTCCCTCACTGCCCACTTCTTCCTCAGGCACCTGCAGACCTTGCACAAGTCGCTCAGGCAGCGCTTCCACACGGCTCACAGGCTGAATGAATGAATGGCCGGACGCTACCCTATGTATCACCCGCGGTCATGACCGCGGGGCCGCTGATCGCATGAGGTAAGGATCATGGCCGCGGTGGCCAACCACGGGGGCCAAGTGCGGCCGCAAACCCCCGACATTTTTAATTCCTAGGATAATAGGCAATATATATCGTCAAATAGATATATAAGAATCCCCCGTGGCCGCGGTCACTGCGGGCACAACCGCGGGCCGCGGCCGCGGTCTGCGGCGGCCCACCGCTGCCGAGGGGAGAGGGGAGAGGGGAGAGGGGGTTGGGGGTGGGGGTTGCCGATTGGGGTTCCGCCGTTTCGGAACCCTGACCCTACCCCCGTGAACAAAAAAAAGTTTAAACAAATAATTTTTTTTGGGGGGGGGCGGTTTTTGGTGTGTGAAAAAAAAATTAAAAAAAATAGAAAAAAATAAATATTGATTGATTGATTGATTGATTGATTGATTCATTGATTGATTGATTGATTGGTTAAAAAAGAGAAAAAGAAACGGTCAGGGGGCTGGGCGGCAGGTGAGGGGGGTCGAGGCGAGCCTCCACAAAGTCGAGGAGGAAGAGGAGGAGAGGGAGGAGGAGGAGGGAAAGGAGGAAGAAGAAGAAGTAGAAGACGAGGATGAGGAGAAGGAAGAAGAGGACGAGGAGGGAGGAGAGCACGGCAATGATGAGGAGGAGGGGCAGGAAGTGGAGGAAGACGAAAGGGAAGGGCCGAGGCCAACGAGGAGGAAGGAGAGCACGGCGATAATCAGGAGGAGGGGGGAGGAGGAGGAGGAGGAGGAGGAGGAGGAGGAGGAGGAAGAAGAGGAAGTAGAAGACGAGGACAAGGAGGAGGAAGAAGAGGACGAGGAGTAGGGAGGAGAGCATGACGATGAGAGGAGGAAGACGAGGAGGAAGGGCCGAGGCCGACAAGGAGGGAGGAGAGCGCGGCATTACTGAGGAGGAGGTGGAGGAGGAGGAGGAGGAGGAGGAAGAAGAAGAAGAGGTAGAATACGAGGACGAGGAGGAAGAAGAGGAGGAGGAGGGACGGGAGCACGACGATGATGATGAGGAGGGGGAGGAAGAGGAGGAGGACGAGGAGGAAGACGAGGAGGAAGACGAGGAGGAAGACGAGGAGGAAGACGAGGAGGAAGACGAGGAGGAAGACAAGGAGGAAGACGAGGAGGAAGACGAGGAGGAGGAGGAAGAAGAAGTAGAAGACGAGGACGAGGAGGAGGAGGACGAAGAAGTAGAAGATGAGGACGTCGAGGAGGAAGAGGGGGGCGAGGAGGAAAAACTTCCGAAAAGAAGAAGAAGAGGAGGAAAATGACGTGAACGATGACGAGAGGGAGGAGGAAGAGGAGGAGGAGGAGAACGACGAAAAGAAAAAGGAGGAAGAGGAGGCAGAGATGGAGCGGGGTTAAGGGGGAGGACGTGCATTACTTGGAGGAGGAGATGGCAAGCACCGGCGGCAGCGATGGCTCCAGCAGCCAAGCACTGGGGGGCGAACAGCAAGTGGTGCGGGCCGTTGGTGGGGAGGGAGGGGGGTTGCACGCCAGTAACCCTCTCGCAGTCCGAAACCGGGGCTGCACGATTTTGAATTCGAAAAGAGGCCCGATCTGGGCCATGGATCATCATCGATCAACGGCCCAGATTGGACCCTTCTTTTTTCAAAATCGGCAGGGCCCCGTGACAATCCGAGAGCGGGAGGGTGTTTGGGCTGCCACCTTCTACCCCGCCACAAACCCTAAATCATTTCCCAGACCTCGCGCATATTTTGCGCAGCCCCCGGAAAATGTTTTTCTGGTAATATCCGGGGGCCTTTTTCCGGCCGGATATACCGGATTAATTCAGGCCCGCATGATATTCAGAAATGCTACTTACCTTATAGGGGACGTAGGACTTGACCACCAGGTACCCCATCTCTGACAAATTTGGATCCCCGTGAACTTCATGTTAGGATCTCCAGCCTATAGATCCGTGCAGGCCGCGTTTGACAGTTTTTCTTTTTTTTCTTCAGCACGACGCACGCCGGTTCCGTTGTATATGATTTGTGAAAATCGTATATGGAATTTGGTAATGGAGCCCTCCTCACCCCCTTATAAACCGAGCGCATACTCTGCCAATTTCGACTGCGTGCAATGAATTGGAATTTCCATCAGCGCAAATTCGAAGACATTGAGAATTGGTTCAGTGCTTTGGGTCCTGTCTCTGGCAAGTCCGGATCCAGACGCACTTCAGTGACTTCATGAATCGCATTCGGTTAGATCGCTCGGTGCACCCGCCTCCAATCTCACTTTTTCTTCTTCCTTCAATCACACACATATGTTTTCATTACCAGCAGACGAGCTCACCAGTTTTCAAAACCCGACCAGCGGTTTATGGGGTCTGCTGAGGGGTCCAACAGCCCTGTTCTTGGAGTGGAAGATCGTTCATATTCGAATGCCCAAGCACTGCAATCGCTGGTGAATCGTCCCTGGCCGCCTGACGTGATCTGTCCACAACGGGAAGTTCTCGTTCCCAGCACACGAGCTCGCCTTGAGGATTAGCTGAATCGGGGTTTATGGGGGTTGTTGAAGGGGCCTAGGGCCATGTTCTTCTTTAATCTACCACGAGTACAGGATGACCTTTCTGCAGTGCAATAACCACACTCACTGGAATCCGGTCGCTGGCAAGTTCGGATCTCAGCAAACTTCGCGGTTCGTGTTCTTTTTTTGTCATTCATGGAATCCGCGTGCAAATTTGCATGGTTGATACACGTTCATCGTTATGACTGCAGAAGTTGACATTGTCAGCACATGACCTCGCCTTGTCGATTTGTCGAATTGGGGTTTGTGGGGGTTGCAAAACGGTCATTGAACCATGGTCATTTTTTTTCTACTACAACCCAGTGAGCTTTGAGGTTTCAGTGCGGAATCTGCCATTCGTGTCATTCACCTGCAAATCCACACTCTTCATATTACAGAATCTAGCATTGCCTGCACAGGAGCTTACCCTGTCGTTGGAGTTAATCGGGGTTTGTGGAGCTCGCTAGAGGGTCCTTAAGCCATTTCCCTTTTCTTGTGCAACCACTCATAGCCTTGCATTTGTGATGATGCTAGTACAAAAGTGTAATCAAGGCAACTGTGAAAATCCTGTTCCATACGAATTCTTTCTCTGAGAAGTTCAGATAATGGCGCACTTCGAGGATTCAGGTCCGTCGGTCCATTTTTTACACCCGCCTAAATCGCGCCTTCATGTAAGGTCGTTTGGATGGCGGAAGTTCGCATTGCCAATACCCTAGCTCGCCTTTTTGAGGCTTCTTCGCTAGCCTCATTAGGGGCTTGTGGGAAGTTCTGTAGGGCCCAATAGCTATGTTCTTTTTTGGCTCTACCATGCACGACCTTGCAGTTCGAAAGGTCATAGTCTGACGACCCGATAGTTGCGGTGACGGGAAATCAGTCTCTCCAAGTTCTTTCTCTAAAACGTGTGGAACTTGACGCACTTCGAGGAACACAGTCTGTCCAATCCTGCGTTGCGCCCGCTTGTGAATCCTCGCCTTCATCTTCCTAGGAATCGATTGCAGAGGTTTGCATTGCCAGCAAACGCTCTCGCCTTGCAGAAATGTTGCATTGCTGCAGTTAGCACCCCTTTATTGACGACGTCGGGTCCCGACAGACTTGCGGGATCGAGATCGGTCAAATCTGTCGTCGATAACTACCTGCAAAATTGCAGCTGCCTCGTCCAATATTTCTTCGATAGAGGTTGACAGTTCGATCACACTAGAAAACCTTAACATCGAGCCACCACGGCCCACGGGGGCTTAGGGGGGTTGGGGAGGGGTTAAGTAGGAATGTTTTGTTTATTTCGAATATAGGCTGTCAGTTATAACGTTTGAGTTTGGAAGTCAATCAATAGAGTGGCAGGAAAACCGTCTCTGCCGTGTGGGGAATCTAGAAAATATTATTGCAAAAGCGCGTCGTGGTTTTCGGGGGGTCGGCGAGGGGTCTAGGAGGCATATTTTGTTTATTTCGACCATAGGTTTACAAAAATAACGTTCCGACAGTCAAACACTATTGTTAGTGAGGATTGCAATTCAATGTGGTCGAGGAATTCCTTTTTCTTGCAAGTTCGGATCCTGACAAACTTCGAGGATCAAACACTTTCACATCATTATTTTCACCCGCCCGTGAATACATGCTTTCATCCTTTCCTCTTTCGGCATTTGGAATGCAGAAGTTAGCATTTCGAACGCACAACCACACCTTTTCCATGTTTCGTATCGTGGGTTTGTGGAGCTCGATGAGGGGTCCAACAACCACCTTCTTCTTCGTTCATCCCCGAGTGGTCTTGCTGGGAAAAACTTGCTAGTTCGGTTGTCAAATTGATGCATGTGTGGGAAACCCGTCTCTCGCGAAATTGGCCCTCGGGAACTTTCAGGTTCTGGATTAGTTAAATCTTGGGTGTGGGATGGCAGGAACTTCACGACATTCGCTGTTACAACCGCATTTGTGCTTGCTCTGTGTAGTGTGTGCGCATGCTTTTTCGTCGGATGTTGGATAGACGGAAAGAAATAAATAGGTCTGGTGAACCCCGCAACAACCCCCTCTATGCCTCCATTGCGATATAGCGGCACGTTGAGCACATGGGCCGCCATTGTCGACATATGCAGCGGATGAAATTCTTTTCGCTAGAGCCGATGCAAAAAGAACTTGCATGACCTTCCACAAGTACAATCAATGCATATGGAAGACATCCTAGTCTACTCGGACAACAAAAAAAATTCCCAGAATTAAATAATCATTCTATAGTAAAATTATATTCTAAGTTTCAAATTTTCATTCCATCTTAAAAAATGTCATTCCAATTTTAAAATTTTCCTTCTTACTTGAAAACTTTCATTCCAAGAATGGGGTATCCCTTCTTATGTGAACTGCATGCTAGAGATGGAATGAAAACCTGGATGAGTTCATGAAATATTTTAATTAGACTATCATTCTAAGTAAAGTTTTCCAGTCATAAATAGGTTTATCCAATCTAAATTAGACGATATTTGTTGTAGTAGAATTTCATGGGAATTAAAACATTTCATAAACTCGTCCTGACTTTCATTCCATCTTGAACAAACGATGTGGTTGGAAGGGAAAACTCATATTTAGACTGGAAGTTATCAAATAAAACAAGAAATTTTAGAATTGGATGAACAGTGAAATGATAATTTATAAATATGAAGGATTTTCTTTTTCTAGAATGTTTTTTCAACTTTAATTTCTCGTGGGAATTTTTCTGTTGGAATCATTCCACGTGCATGCAGAACATATCGAGTGGACACTTGGGGCGTTGTAGGATGCTGGCTTTAAGATTGCGTTGGAGAAAAGTGAGTTTTTCTTTTTGGAAATCTCGTTCCTGGGATACGTGGTGACCCGAGGAGGCTTACGACCGGATTCGAGAAAGGTTGTGGTCGTTCGAGACGCCCTCGCGCCTACGTCGTTGACGCAAGTCTGGACCTTCGGAGTATACGGCCGTACAAATACAGCCCGCCCGTACGTACGGGCCCCCCTCCATCCGTACGGCCCGTACGTACGAACTTTGGGCCCTCCGTACGTGGCCTTCCGGGGGGGTGTTGAGGGCGTGGATGGGTTGGGGGGGGGGTTCGGGTGTCGGGGGGTACCCCCCCATTCAAAAAAAAAAAAAAAAAAAAAAAAAAAAAATTGGTCCTGGGCTAGGCTACCAGAGTGGCCCGGGGTCACTTGCCCGGCCAGGCCAAAATAATTAAAATAAATAAAAATAAATAAAATATTTTTGAATTTTAATTTTTATTTTAAATTTGGTGAAGAATTTCGATAAAGTTATTCAATTTATTTTTTTGCATATTGGGATTTTGTTTTTTCTTTTTTCTTTTTGCTGGGACCTTACCTGATCCTTGCACGGGCTGGCCACCCGGGACCCGGGCGGCCCGGCTGGTAGCCTAGGTCCTGGGGGTAAAAAAAAAGCAAATTGATTGATTAATTAATTGGTTGATTGATTGATTGATTGATCGATTGATTGATTGAATGATTGATTGATTGAGTGAGTGATTGAGTGATTGAGTGATTGATTGATTGATTGATTGATTGATTGGTTGATTGATTGATTGATTGATTGATTGATTGATTGATTGATTGATTGACTGATTGATTGATTGATTGATTGATTAATTGATTGATTGATTGATATGAGGGGGGGGGGGTCGCCTCCCCCCCACTTGTACACACACACACACACACACACACACACACACACACACACAAACGGGCGCGGCCTTTTTTTTTTTTTTTTTTTTTTTTTGATTAAATGATGGATTGATGGATTGATTGATTGATTGATTGATTGATTGATACAAGGTGGGAGGGGGTCCCCCACCCCCCACGAGTACACACACACACACACACATACGCACACACACA